AGAGAGGGAGAATACTTCCCGGTAAAAGTAGGTCTTAGACAGGGATGTGTAATGTCACCATGATTGTTTAATATATTTATAGATGGGGTTGTAAAAGAAGTAAATGCTAGGGTGTTCGGGAGAGGGGTGGGATTAAATTATGGGGAATCAAATTCAAAATGGGAATTGACACAGTTACTTTTTGCTGATGATACTGTGCTTATGGGAGATTCTAAAGAAAAATTGCAAAGGTTAGTGGATGAGTTTGAGAATGTGTGTAAAGGTAGAAAGTTGAAAGTGAACATAGAAAAGAGTAAGGTGATGAGGGTATCAAATGATTTAGATAAAGAAAAATTGGATATCAAATTGGGGAGGAGGAGTATGGAAGAAGTGAATGTTTTCAGATACTTGGGAGTTGACGTGTCGGCGGATGGATTTATGAAGGATGAGGTTAATCATAGAATTGATGAGGGAAAAAAGGTGAGTGGTGTGTTGAGGTATATATGGAGTCAAAAAACGTTATCTATGGAGGCAAAGAAGGGAATGTATGAAAGTATAGTAGTACCAAACACTCTTATATGGATGTGAAGCTTGGGTGGTAAATGCAGCAGCGAGGAGACGGTTGGAGGCAGTGGAGATGTCCTGTCTAAGGGCAATGTGTGGTGTAAATATTATGCAGAAAATTCGGAGTGTGGAAATTAGGAGAAGGTGTGGAGTTAATAAAAGCATTAGTCAGAGGGGAGAAGAGGGGTTGTTGAGGTGGTTTGGTCATTTAGAGAGAATGGATCAAAGTAGAATGACATGGAAAGCATATAAATCTATAGGGGAAGGAAAGAGGGGTAGGGGTCATCCTCGAAAGGGTTGGAAAGAGGGGGTAAAGGAGGTTTTGTGGGCGAGGGGCTTGGACTTCCAGCAAGCGTGCATGAGCGTGTTAGATAGGCAGTGAATGGAGACGAATGATACTTGGGACCTGACGATCTGTTGGAGTGTGAGCAGGGTAATATTTAGTGAAGGATTCAGGGAAACCGGTTATTTTTCCCTTATAGTCGGACTGAGTCCTGGAAATGGAAGTACAATGCCTGCACTTTAAAGGAGGGGTTTGGGATATTGGCAGTTTGGAGGGATATGTGTATCTTTATAAGTATATGCTTCTAAACTGTTGTATTCTGAGCACCTCTGCAAAAGCAGTGATAATGTGTGAGTGTGGTGAAAGTGTTGAATGATGATGAAAGTATTTTCTTTTTGGGGATTTTCTTTCTTTTTTGGGTCACCCTGCCTCGGTGGGAGACGACCAACTTGTTGAAAAAAAAAAAAAATAATAATAATAATAATAATAATATTATTATTATTATTATTATTATTAATAATAATAATATAATAATAATAATAATAATAATAATAATAATAATAATAATAATAATATCATTATTATTATTATTATTAATATTATTATCTTCATTCACTCTAAAAATGGTGTGTTGCTGTTTGTTTATTCTGTGTACAACTTGTACACAATGTAAGAGTATTTGTATTGTGAGGTAATTATTATTAAAATAAAAAAATATTGAGGTAAATGTTTTACAAACTGTTACAAATGGACGTGAATGAACTAAAAGTAGACACACTAATACGCATTTATTTTGCCTGGCCAAGTGATCATCCACTACCTGTTCAGTTTGTGTTCTTACATTGTCTCAACTCTGTATCTTGTTCTCACTCTCGTTTACTCTTTTGTTAACTAGTTGGTTCTCATTGACGATGGCGTCTAAGGTTAGCTGTAATAAAAAGAGAAGTCGTAAGCCTCTTGCTTTAAGTGCCAAGTTAGAGGATGATGGTGTGCCATTCTGATTTTATTCAATAAACACCCTGCCACTCACCTCTCACACATTAATATTAATATTTTAAGGTAAGTAATAAGTGTACTCTGTGTGTATCTTACCTTTTATTGTGTTTTTAATGCCTATTTCTATTGCTAACTTAATATAAGTTAGTGTAAACTTGTTGTCTGGCATTTATTGCATATTTTATATGCTCTGATAATAATACTTGTGAAGCCGGGTAGAGGAACAACATTACGTTTTCTCTGTTCAGCCATCAGAGAAAACGTGTATGAATCTGCGTTTGGCCCAGCCACTCCCCCACTCCGCTTTTATTTACAATTTTTGGCATGAATTATTCATTACTTCTACCTTCGTTTATGATGGCATCTAAAGGTAGTTGTTAGAAATTATTAAATTCAGTGAACAAGGCATGTCGATGTTAATAATATGGCTCTGGACCACAGTGTAAGTAGCTGGTAGGTGTAGCCCAGGCTACACCTACCGGCTACCTACACTGACTTTATACAAATAAATACTACTCACCTCTCTTCCTATATTAAGACTACACATATTTTAAGGTAAATAATGAGTGTACTGTATGTGCATTTTACCTCTCTGGGATGTTTTAAATATCGTATATTAAGTATGAGACGGGGAGCCAGTGCTACCTACACCTGGGCTACCTGCACCTGGGCTACCTGCACCTGACTTCCTACAAATAAGTACTACTCACCTCTCTCCCTACATTAAGATTACAAATACTTTAAGATAAGTAATGAATTTACTGTGACTGTATTTTACTTTGTGTGTTTTTAATGCCTAGTTCTATTACTAACTTAATATAATTTAGTGTAAACTTGTTGTCTGGCATTTATATGCATTTATAAATGGAAAAAAATGGAGTTCTGCCTTCTGGCGATGTCTGCTTTCCGGCGACAGACTGGAACCTAACCCGTCGTATAAGTGGGGCCCTACTGTATATGGGAAATTATATATTGGGTTATGTTGACATGACAGGACCTACACAACAGCCCAGTTGTCCTGCACATGTAGGAAAACATTACTCTTGAGAGGGCAGGTACAACCAGGCACCAGCAAGTACACACAAGGGCCCTGTTTACTCAACTCACACATAAGAAACTATACACACTGGGGAGTGTTAACACAACCCAGCACACCAGGACTCACAAAGGTTCAATTAGCAGTTAAGAAAGCAATTGCAATTAGCAGTTAAGAAAGCACACAGGGGTGACTAGCAGCACTGGACAACACTCCCCATACACAAGAAGACTCAAGGATGCCAGAGATAACACAACAACCACAAGTTCATTGTACCAGATCATATCCAATGGCCATTAATAGGCAAATGTAAAGCATGAAATGCCAAGAATACTGAAGACAGCCATAAGGCCCTAAGAGACTAGGGCCAACTGAAGCTAAGGTCATGCAAAAATCTAAGGGCAGAGGTGAGGACTCGATGGCACAACACAGACAACAGTTAAATGGAGAGAGTGGTGAGTGAGAGCTACCAGCTGATGGCTGTACACTGCCTGCATTGGAACAATCTTCTGAGCACCACTAACAGGTGAAACATATTCTAAGTCCCTGTGGTCCCTCAATAAAAAAATGTTGATAAATTCAACTTTAGATTTAGATTCAGGTATTTATTTGCAAAAAAAAAAATGCAGTCATAAGTAAGGAAACAATGTAGGCAAAATGCACATGGAAATATTTTACAAATTCCATATTATACTCATAATTTCCACAATTCTTTACCAATCTCTACCAAACAAATAAAGGCCCACCACATATTCATAAAATAAACGTGCACAAAATCAAAGCATTTCACTAACTGAAGTAAAAAATTATTTCTTACATAGCTCTCAAGTGTAGGTGTTGCTTATCATAATTCAGACATTCATAGCTGAGGGAGCTTCTGTATTTTCATACATAATCAATTTAACATAGCAGAAGTGTCACAGATAGCATGCTGTTGCAGCCTTAATGTTGTGCCTCAGAATCCCATACCTAAAGAGATGACTCCACTCCAGCCCTTATTTATACAAGAGAAGAGTTGCCCTCTGCCCTGAGGTAACATCTACCTGAGGCAAGTGATGTCATGTTGCATTTGCTATTGGTAACACAGAGATGATGATGATGTCTCTAGACAGCTTGAAGACACTACTGAGGCTAGTACGAGCATTGATATCTTGGAGATAGTATTTTACTCTAATGACTACAAAGTCTTATATGGTAAACCTTGTAAGCATGGCAGCCAATACACTTGTTTAAATGTGTACCATGCTTGCTTGTTAACAGTAGCTGCATATCAGTATGAGGAACAAGTGCATTCTCACACTGAGTATACACCACTTTCATAGCTCACCTGTGTTCTCACTCTAAGTATACACCATTCTCATGGATCACCTGCACTCCCACTCTTAGTATACACCACTTTCATGGATCGCCTGCACTCTCACACTGAGTATAAACCACTCTGATGGATTACCTGCCCCCCCAGAGAAGATAAATGCCCAGCAACTTAACTCAGGACTCATTTCAAGGGGCTACTGAGACTGGTGAAAGGCTCTCGATCCACAAAATACAATACTCTACCTTTGTATTAGAATGGCAGGTTTGCCAGCATGTAAGATAACAGGATGTTATTATTTTTAAAAAGATGTTGATATGGAGGTAAGCAAGGTCTGGTAATGTATGACAGAGTGCTAACATTGTACACAATGCTGTGTCACACTGACCTGTTAAAGCCTCTTTTGTGAGAATAAAATACCATAGAATTTGCATACAGAGAGGTGAATAATTCTGGGAGAGAGATGAATAATTCTGGGAAGGGTCCCTCTAATTGACTGTGTTTGGACCAGGAAAGGTTCAATTTCTTCTCTGGGCAATTAGGTTCGACCTGAGGTCAAACCTAATTACATCCCTTTCCCCAGGTGCCATATGACCTTTATGGCTTTAGTGCTTCCCATGAATATAATAATATTTATCACAAGCCTTACCCTGCCTTGGTCGGACCTCTCATCTCAGCAGAGGTTTCAAGAGGTAGCTGGACAGGCACTTAAAGTCAGTACCTGACCAACCGGGCTTGGTCATGGACCAGGTCGCGAAAGCATTGACCCTTGAAACACCCTCCAGGTAACACTGGAGGAACATCAATAACCCTATGTTATGCAGGCCATTTTAAGTGTCAGTTGCCTGGTTCAACTCTCTGAGAAGCCAAATAACAACTAATATACAAGATGAAGAGCCATCAGCAGTGTGATACTGGGGTATCATTTTGAGTAATTATTCTACTCTCTTGCAAATGAAACATATTTTACAACTAGTCACTCAAGAAGTCACATCAACCATCCAAATGAGAGTTGCATACCTAGAGCATACAAGGATGGGGTTTTGGCTGTCAATGCCTTGGCGGTCAATGCCCTTGCGGTCCAGTCTGTGACCAGGCCTTGCGGTGGTTCAGGGCCTGGTCAACCAGGCTGTTGCTTCTGGCCACATGTAAACCGGCGTATGAGCCACAGCCCAGCTAGTCAGGAATTGACTTCAGGTGCCTGTCCAGTGCCTTCTTGAAGACAGCCAGGGTCTATTGGTAATCCTCCTTATGTATGCTGGGAGGCAGCTGAACAGTTTTGGGCCTCTGGCTCTTACTATGTTGTCTCTTAGTGTACTTGTGGTACCCCTGCTTTTCATTGGGAAAATGTTGCATCTCCTGCCAAGTCTTATGCTGTTGTAAGGAGTGATTTTTGTGTGCAGATATGGGACTAGTCCCTCTAGGATTTTCTAAGTGTATGTTATCATGTATCATTCTCGCCTGCATTCCAGGGAGTAAAAATCAAGGGACTTCAACTGTTCCCAGTAATTTAAGTGCTTTATTGTGCTTATACATGCCGTGAAAGTTCTCTGTACATTCCCCAGGTCTGCAATTTTGCCTGCCTAGAGAGAACAAGCGATTTGAGGAGAATCATCATGGGCTTGGCACCCCTAGCTTTTAACGTTCTCATTATTCATCCTATCATTTTCCTAGCAGATGTGGCAGATACATTGCTGTGATTTTTGAAGGTGAGAGCCTCTGCCATTATCACTCATGGGTCCTTCACATTAGTTTTTCACCCTATTGTGTGGTTTTTATTTCCTTGAGTAATTAAAATGTCTTCCCTGAATTTCAAATTGTTTTCTGAAGCCCACTGAAAGATTTCATTGATGTCAGCTTGGAGACTTTCAGTGTCTGTGATGGATGACACTGTCATGCAAATTCAGGTGTCATCTGCAAAGGAAGACAATGCTGTAGCTTACATCTCTGTCTTTGTCGGATATGAGGATGAGGAACGGGATGGGAGCGAGTACTGCACCTTGTGGGACAGAGCTTTTCACTGTAGCTTTCTCTGTTTACTATTACTACTCTTTGTGTTCTGTTTGTTTCGAAGTTATAGATCCATCTACCAACTTTTCCTGTTATTCCTTTATCACACACTTTGTGTGCTATTACATTATTATTGTGTGCTACTTGTCAAAAGCTTTCACAGAGTCTGTGTATATTACATCTGCATTTTGTTTGTCCTCCAGAGCATCCAATAGTTGGGATAGGCAGGAGTGACCTGCTCTAAACCCATGCTGCCCTGGGTTGTGCAACTGATGGGTATCTAACTGGGTGGTGATCTTACTTCTTCGAACCCTTCCAAAGATATTTATGATGTGGGATGTTAGTGCTATTGGTCTGAAATTCTTTGCAATTGCTTTACTGCCTTCTTTGCAGAGTGGGGCTATGTCTGTTCTTTATAGAAACGTGGGATGACCCTTATGTTCATGCTCTCTCTCCAAAGAATGCTAGAGGCATGTGAAAAGGGCTTCTTGCAGTTCTTGACAAACACAGAGTTCCACAAGTCTGGGCTTGGGGCAGAGTGCATGGGCATTTTCATTTATTGCAATTTCAAAGTCTTGTGGTGTTAGCATAATATCAGCTAACTACAACTTCACTCTGAAGACTAACAGCTGGCTACAACTTAACTTTGTTGCCTAACAGCTGACTACAACTTCACTTTGTCTCCTAACAGCTGGCTACAACTTCACCTTGTAGACTAGCAACTGTCTACAACTTCACCTTGTAGACTAATAACTGGCTACAACTTCACCTTGTAGATTAACAACTCACTACAACTTCCCCTTGTAGACTAGCAACTGGCTACATCTTCACCTTGTAGACTAACAACTGTCTACAACTTCACTTTGTAGACTAACAAATGGCTACAACTTCACCTTGTAGACTAACAACTGTCTACAACTTCACCTTGTAAACTAACAACTACAACTTCACCTTGTAGACTAGCAACTGGTTACAACTTTACCTTTACTTGTCTGACTTTTTTGGGTTATCCCAGGTTCTCTACACATATGCTGCTATGTATGATAATCTATGTAACTATATCTGTGTATACCTTAATAAACTTACTTACTTATAACTTCACCTTGTAGACTAACAACTGTCTACAACTTCACCTTGTAGACTAACAACTGTCTACAACATCTTGTAGACTAACAACTGGCTACAACTTCACCTTATACCTTATGCATGATGCTCAAAATTACTTAGAGCTGTGAACCTGTAAATTAATTCTCTAATGAAGATGATCTTAGGAACAAGTTCTGTACTGAGATACACTCCAGCAATTCAAATTGTGTAAGTTATTCTTGTAAAGAATAAAAAGACACAATATTTTGACTGGAACAATACACAAATAACCCACACATAGGAGAATGAAATTTATGACGACGTTTCAGTTCAAGTCGGACTGAAACGCTGACATAGGTTATTTGTGTATTATTCCTGTAACTTTAGGCAGTAAAGTACACACCAAAAATGGTACATATTTTACTCTAAAACGAGCTACTTCTGCACACTTTTCCCTTCTTGTCATATATTGACAATAGTGTGGTTGCTATCCATGCAGAGAGCTTCTGCTTATAATCTCTCAGTACAACTTTGTTCATTCATGATGAAAATAACTATTATGTAACATCTAGAACAGCTGTGGTAATGAAGATAGAATATGCTAAATAAGCTTCTACTAGAGCAGTGTTTTGCTCAGGGTAGAGCTTTAACGTTGTCCCAGTATATGCTTGTTGTGTGTGTCTTTGTACTCACACTGGCCAATACAGACACATACGTACACTTCATGGCATTTATTAAAGGAAGTGTCTATCTTAATACACTAAATGTTTCCTTTAAGAAATGTCCTGAACTTTACATAAGTGTAATAATGTTGGTAGAATTACCGACAGAACGTTAGGTAAAAGGACACAAATGCAACTAATATGACACAATACAATGTCTCATTAGTTTCACATGTGTTCTTTTACCTAAAAGCTTTTATCCACAGCTTCTTGGTATCATCACACCATTTATCTGCTGCCATTATACATGTCTGTCTATATTTTCACAAGAGACATAGTTTTACAAGAGTGGATGACATTTCATAGTACTCCTGGAAAGCCCCTGTTATGCATAGCATATTTACCAAGGTAAAACCTAAAAATCTACCCAAATATATCTGGAAATTACTATTAGTCAGTATAGTACTGTACATACATATTAGAAGAGAAATGTTATCACTGGAATTATTGAAGAATAGTAAATAATAGTATATAAACAAGCTTGAGAACTAACCAGACAGGAGGCCATCTGTGCCTGTTCAGGTATGCCTGGTTCTCTGGGTGCAGTGATCTCAGCTGCTTGGCATGCTTGTGACATACATGATTGTAATTAGTTGCCATGCAGGTCAAGCACCACTCCACTAACTGGTCAGCATTGTGCATCTGTTTAGGTAAAAATCATCAGATGGTCAAGTGACATGCCACAGTATCTAGAATTTATACTTTTTTAATCAATCAATCAATATTTATTTCCACGTGATACATCATTTGCACAAAAGTTGGATAGCATTATATCAATTACATGGAAACCCCATTAGTTACGGTTTGAAGACCTTAAGATCATCAGTTATGCAAAGGGAGAACTTTTTTTTTTTTTTACAAAGATTTCTATAATTCACCAGCCATCTTCCACCAAGGTAGGGTATACAAAAAGGAGGAAACACATTCACTATCATTTGCTCAATCACTGTGTTGCCCAAAATATGTTCATATCACATATCAGATGACCTTCCAAACTGCAACATCTTCACCCATCTAGAGTGCAGGCATTATACTTTCCACCTCCAGGACTCAAGTCTGGCTATCCAGCTTTTAAAACTGAATCCTTTCATAAATGTTATCTTGCTCACACTCCAACAGTATGTCAGGTAATAAAAACCACCTGACTTACTGCAATATGATGCACCTAGCAGTTAAAACATCTTTACCCTGTCTCTCCAGCCCTTCCTGGGACAACCCCTACTCCTTCCTTCTACCTCCGATTTATGTACCCATTTCATCATCCTAGCCTGCTCCATCCACTCTAAATGCCCACACCACCTCAACATCATCATCTTCTAATCACCATGCTCTGAATTCTTTGCATAATTTACAAAGATATGCAGACATTATTTGTTGTTCCCACCCTGGATGAATGATCGAGAGAAGAAAACATACACTATAACTCATACTCAGGCTGCCTTTTCTGGAAACCACAAATATTGTTATCCAGTATTGACCCACTAAAATGTACTCTAATTACCTGACTTTCTGAGTACAGGCCCTGTCTTTCCCAACTGGTTTCCTGAGCTCCTTGATATATATTACCTTGCTTATGTACATGTCACATCCTAGACACCACTCATATCACTCATCTTCACTCTGGTCTACCCAACAAGTGCTTTGATGATACACACACAAACACACACACACATACATACATACACACACACACACACACACACACACACACACACACACACACACACACACACACACCCCACACACAAAACACACACACACACAACACACACACACACATCTCAGTAGTAGTACCAGTTCCTAGTAACCAGTTACCAGTAACCAGTGTACCAGTAGATGACTCACTACCAACCGTCTGCGTGAATCATTGACTGTTATTTATATTGCTGCTGACCATAGCAGAATTTCAAACACCCTCACCCTGTAGGCACTTGTGGGTCAGTCGAAGATAGGGAGCAAAGAGAGGCAGGTCGGCTGTTGGCGCTTCCCATACTTCCCGTTTTATATTATACGTACAAACCAGCCTAGGTGAGTATTTTTACCCCATCCACGTTATCGAAACCCACATGATAAATTGGTGACAGCGGTGTGGGCGTGGATTTAAGGGTATTTCAGACGTTAGAAGACTGTTTGTGGGTTGCCGGCAGGTCAGAGGTGAACCGTCTGCCACCTCCAGCTAGCAGTTACCTCACTCTCCTCCCCCTGTGTACTCTAGCCTGCAAGCCTGTTGCAGCCACTTTTCAAGCTTCCTGGCTTAGTTCGTGTGCTAATTGCTTCAATCTCTGGGGGGTTTTGACCCCGGATTTTGCAATTAAGCCAGTCAATAAGCCAGGACTGTGGAAGTTGATAACGCTAGTCAGCCTGCCTTCAGCCTACCATCCAGCCTGTCTCCTTCATCCACCTGCTCCTTCATGCTGTGTGCACCCTTAACGTCTCCCAGTCAGCCATTCCGTGGTTAAGCCAAAAGTCAGCCAACCCAGCTTCCTAACCCACTGAGAGAAAGAAGTAAGCCACGCAAGTTCCTCTGAAGTATTGTTTCATATATCGCTTTGTGCTCCCATTGGATGCCAGATGGTGCTAGAGTGGTCTTCAATCCTTGGCATTTGTGGCTTAGTTAATTAAGCCACCTTCGTGGGTAGTGAGTGGAGTGTGCACCAGTGAGCAACAGCGAGTGACTCACGCTCCCTTCACCCACCCGCCACCCACTCTTCACTCATCTACCTGTGGCTTTTTCCACTCTTGTACCGGGTCCCAGTACTGTTTTGGCTCACATAATTGGTCAAGAGATTGTAGCTGGTGCCAACGATAAAGCCAGTTATGTGAGTTCACCTAGAAAGCGCATTTCTTCGACAACAATGTGAGTGTAGGAGGCGTCATCACTCGCACAGGACGTCTTCCTTTCATCACTAGTCACTCAGTCTACTACTCCAGACTTCAGTGATAATTTTCCGTTTACAGACATTTTCCTGCATTTAAAGACATTTGCGTGTGTGAGACATTCACAGTGAATTTCTTGTGTACTCTAAGCCTTGTGTTTTCAGTGTAGGCTCAGTGTTTCTTTGACTCATTATTTTTTACACACACACACACACACACACACACACACTTGAGATAATGATTTAAATTTGCCTTCACCTTCCTTGGATCAAAGCTCATCATGTCTCCCCTCTCCCATTCCCTTGGTGCTGTATGACCCCAACAGACTAAGCATTTTACAAGGAAATGATACATTGAATATCATACTGGAAGGAGGGACTACTGAGGAAGTGTATGTAGTTAGATATTTGGGAGTGGACATGTCAGCAGATGGACCTATGTATGATGAGGTGAACTATAGAACAGATGAGGGGGTAAAAAGGTGGGTGGTGCATTGAAGTATCTGTGGAAAGTTATCTATGGAGGCCAAAACAGACATGTGTCAAAGTATAGTGGTACCAATACCTTTATATGGGCGTGAAGTAAGTTTTAAATGCTGCAGCAAGGAAGAGAAGGAGAAGGAGGCTAGAGGCAGTGAGGATGTCTTATATATAAGAAAGGGTAGTTGAGATGGTTTGGACATGTAGAAAGGGTGGAGAGGGATACGCTGATGAAGAAAGTGTATAAATTTGGGGTGGAAGGCAGGATGGGAATTGGTTGTCCCAGGAAGAATTGGAGAGAGGGGGGTAAAAGAGGCTTTGAATTTTAGAGGCTTGAGCATCCAGCAGGCTTATGTGAGTGTGTTAGATAGAAGTGAATGTGAAGACAAGTTGATTTCAATGGACAGGCTGCTGGAGTGTGAAAAAGGCAGTTTTTCTGAAGGGATTCAGGGAAACTGGCTATCCAGACTTGAGTCCTGGAGGTGGAAGGGAAGTGCTTGTAATATCACATATTTTTAGAAAGGACAGCAAATAAATGAATGATTGTGACTTTTATTCTTTGGGACACTACCTTGGTGGGAAATGGCTGTTGACTTGAAAAAATATATAACATAATAATTCTTTCTTTCAACACACCGGCCATATCCCACCGAGGCAGGGTGGCCCAAAAAGAAAAACAAAAGTTTCTCCTTGTACATTTAGCAATATATACAGGAGAAGGAGTTACCAGCCCTTTGCTCCTGGCATTTCAGTTGCCTCTTACGGCACGCATGGCTTATGGAGGAAGAATTCTGTTCCACTTCCCCATGGAGATAAGTGGAAATAAACAAGAACAAGAACTAGTAAGAATAATAGAAGAAAACCCAGAAGGGTGTGTATACATATGCTTGTAAATGCATGTGTAGTGTGGCCTAAATGTAAGTAGAAGTAGAAAGACGTACCTGAAATCTTGCATGTTTATGAGACAGAAAAAAGACATCAGCAATCCTACCATCATATAAAACAATTACAGGCTTTCGTTTTACACTCACTTGGCAGGACGGTAGTACCTCCCTGGGTGGTTGCTGTCTACCAACCTACTACCTATCATAATAATAAAATATAATGTATTAATAATAATAAAGATTGATAATAATAATAATAATAATCCCCTCTGGTCTAACAGATATACTGGTTAGTCTACCTAGTCCCTGCCAATGAATACCTCTATCACCTCATTCAACACTGCCATGTAGGTATGGAATAAATTACAAAGCTAAAAATAAAGTGATTCTTACAAAAGCTTACCTGTAGAGGCTCCAGAAGGTAAATACAGTCTTCACTGACATCACCTCCAGCCTGGATCACTCGCTGGAAGAGGTCAATGATCTCAATCTCAACTAAGGATATGAGACGCGGAAGACACAAGCGGTTGCCGAGCTCTACAATGGGAAGACACTCACGAATCTTGAGTGTCGGGACAGTGTCTGTGTACAAGTACTGCACCAAGATGTGAAAGGTCCGCTGCTTTACTCCAGGAAAGGTTATCTGAGATAAACAAAACCTTGGTTAATGCACTTACTATCTACAGAGGAGTAAGTTTATTTAAGTACATATTGGCAGTTTGGAGGGATATGTTGTGTATCTTTATACGTATATGCTTCTAAACTGTTGTATTCTGAGCACCTCTGCAAAAACAGTGATAATGTGTGAGTGTGGTGAAAGTGTTGAATGATGATGAAAGTATTTTCTTTTTGGGGATTTTCTTTCTTTTTTGGGTCACCCTGCCTTGGTGGAAGACGGCCGACTCGTTAAAAAAAAAAAAAAAAAAACACCTAAATACAGTTACACAAATTATCACACCAAGTAACATGTGTGTAAATTACCCAGGATAACCCCCAGACTTATTTCCATTGGGGTACTTAGCGTAAAATACTGACACAATGAAAAATAAGTGACAAATGTAGTACGATGTGATCCATTATTGACAACACTTGTGACTTGATGAATCCCACTGTGTGGGTAAAACAATATCAATAAATGATGGCATTATATTACATTTCTCCTTTTCAACACGTATTATTCTATATTATATACTGTACTATATATTTTTTATTCTATGCAATAAGATCACAGTAAACAGGTGATATCACAATATGCAAAATAACCACTGTAAAAATTAGTGAATTTCCAAGCACTTTCATGATTTCTCACATTTTCAAGGAACTGTAAAAATAATAGAACAGCAGAAGGATTATAAGGCTGAGATATTACCTCACATATGACCTGACACCAGACTCAGCATGCAATACAGTATAAACTAAGTATTCTTATTCTCAAGTTCTATATGTGTCCCATTGTCTAGTATTTATAAGGCAACCTGAAATCAGATTCAGAGTCAGATTCATTTATTTCTTTGCAAGTAGTACATCGAGATTATATTTTTACAATGATGGGTTACAGTGCAAAGACAGCCTCTATTATGCCTTGGCATTATGTGCTGACTTAATTCAATGGCTTATTGACTACTTATCACTAAAGAAATTATCATAGTTGTAGAGTAGTTCTATTAATAATAAGTAAATCTAATTTACACAAAACAAAAGGATATATTCATGTATTCAAAAATGCTTTTTATGAAACATGATTCAGGAGTAGTTTACAGTAGTTTACAGCAGTTTTCAGTAATTTACAGTATGAGACTGCTACAATTTGGTGAAGGGCAATACTGGTTTTGGTAGGTATGTATACTTCCATGTGGTAATTTGTCAATATATGAGCTTGGTTGTCTGGTCATGAAGTTTTAAGATTTAGGTAATTGGTAGAGTTATTGGTAGTGTTAGATATTGATACTGAGTATTTAGTCTAGGGTGAATAGGTGGCTTTTGAGAAGAGTCTTGAATTGATTTTCAGACTGAGTTACTTTGGTATTTTCTGGTAATGAATTCCAAATTTTGGGGCCCTTTATGTGCATAGAGTTTTTACACAGTAAGATATGGACATGGGGTATATCAAAAAGAGATCTGTGTCTTGTGTTATGGTCATGTGTCCTGTTAAGATTGGTGATGAAAAGTTTGAGTGGAGGGTTTATGTTTGCATGTATTGTTCTATGTATGTAGTAGGCACATGAATAAGTATGGATGTTCTTAATGGTGAGCAGATTTAGACTTTTAAATATTGATGAAGTATACTGTCAGGAGTGGGAATTTGTCATCATTCTGACTGCTGCCTTTTGCTGGGTTATTAGTGGTCTTAGGTGATTTAATTCTGTTGATCCCCATGCACAAATTCCACATGTGAGATAAGGGTAGATGAGTGAATGATACAGTGCAAGGAGAGCCGATTGTGGAACATAGTATTGTATCTTTGATAGTATACCTACATTCTCAGAGATTTTCTTGGTTATCTGTTGTATATGTGTCTGGAACTGAAGCGACTGTCAAGGTGGATTCCTAGGAATTTTCCCTCCGTTGAGTCTTGTGACGGGTGATCCGTTTAGCGATTATGTAAGTGAAACATTTGCAGCTTTGTTTCCAAACTGAATGAAGTAGGTTTTGTCAGTATTCAGTGTAAGTTTATTAGTCATCATCCAGGCAGATATTTTCTGTAATTTGGCATTGACTGTGTTGGAGAGTATGACTGAGTTTGGGTGAGATAAGACATATGTAGTGTCATCTGCAAATAATATGGGGTTGAGAAACTGTGATGCATTTGGTAGGTCGTTGATGTAGATGAGAAAGAGGAGTGGTCCAAGGACGCTTCCCTGTGGGGGACTCCGACTGTGATTGGTTGTGTGGAAGAGCTTGCACCATTTGTGTGCACATATTGGCTTCTGTTGCTAAGGTACGACTTTAGGTAGTTGAGGGAGTGGCCTCTTATACCATAGTGTGTTAATTTAGTGTACAGCAGTTCATGGTGGACTGTATCAAAAGCTTTATGTAAATCAATGAAGATTCTCAGCAGGCCTCTTTCTTTTCAAGAGCGGTATATATTAGTTCTAGCATGTGTATGATAGCATCATTTGTGCTTTTATTATTCCTGAATCCAAACTATCAGGGGTTTAGTATGTTATGTGAGACAAGGCAGGAATAGATCTGTCTATGTATTAATTTTTCAAAGATTTTAGAGAGGAGTGGTAAGTTAGGTATTGGTCTATAGTTATTTAAGTCTGCTTGTTCACCTCCTTTGTGTATTGGAGTGACCCTCGCTATTTTGAGAATTGTTGGGAAGGTGGAGGATTCAATGGATTTGTTAAAGAGTGTTGCAATAATTGGTGACAATACTTGAGAAGTTTTTTTGTACATAAAATTTGGCAAGTTGTTTATGTCTCCTGCCTTGTTTTTAAGGGTGTTGATGATGAGCGAGACTTCTGTTGGGTTGGTTGGAGCTAGGAATAGTGTGTTTGGGTAGGTACTCATGAGGTAGTCAGATGGACGGGTGTTTGAGTTTAGGATTTTGCTTGCTAGGTTCTTTCCTATGGTGGAGAAGAAAACACTGAGTCTGTTTGCTGTTTCAGTTGGTAAGAGTAGGGGTTTGTCTGATTTTGTTAATTTGACTGTTTTGTTTTTGGATATCTTTTTAGTTCCAAGAATTTCTGATAGAGTTTTCCAGGTATTTTTCATATCACCTTTGATGGTTCGTAGTCTATTTTCATAATACAGTGTTTCATAATATAGTGTTTTGACTGGTCTCTAGTCATTTGACCCATTTTGTACTGTTTTTCATATTGGTGCTTTGTATTAATGGATTTAAGGATGCTGGGTGTTAGCCAGGGACTATTCAGTCTCTTAGCTGTGATCTGTTTAGTTTTCCTAGGGCAATGTTTGTTATAGAGGTAATGGGTTTTTTAAGAAAATTATTTATACATTCATTCATATCTGTATATGTTTTGAGCTCATTTTGCCAGTCAATGTTATTCATAGCTGCTATAAAGTTATTTACAGCTGTCTCATTATGTAGTCTGAAGGTAACTTTAGTAATGTCTTGGGGCAATTTACTTAGATTGGTTTTGAGAAAGGTTGGGTAGTGGTCTGTGGTGTTGCCCATGATTATGCCTGATTTTAAAGGGGATATGGTGTTAGTTCAGATGTGGTCTATTAAAGAGACACTGGTCTTGGAGATTCTTGTAGGTTTAGATATTGTTGGTAGCAACAAGCAGTTGCTCATAGTGTTTGTGAATTCAGTTACTTGTGGGTCCTGGTCATGTAGTAGATCTATGTTGAAATCTCTTGTTAGCAGTAGGTGGTCTTTGTTCATATGTGCATCAGTTATCAAGTTTCCTAATTTTTCACTAAAGTGGTAAATGTTTGACTGTGGTACTCTGTAAATGTTCATAACTGTGAGGGGTTTTCGCTATGATATATTCACCATGCTCATCCCTTGTGCAAGATTTATAGGTACATTCAAGTTGATTTGAGTAGTATACAGCTGTTCCACCCTCAACTGGTCTGTCCTACAGTTGTGTATGGCTGTGTAACCAGGAATGGCATAGACATCTGTAATACCAGGTTTTAGTCAGGTTTCTGTGAGTGTGGAATAAAGGGAATTGAGTAATGCTGTGAGGTCATCATAATGTTTGCTCAGGGATCTGACATTGTAATTAAAGATAGTTATGTTATTGTTTGCTCTGAGTAATGTCTTTGCTTGGTCTGTTGTATAATAATTACAGTTGTTGTTTGATTCGCATAATTCATTTAAGAAAAAGTTTACATCAGGATCAATGCCTGTATTCATAAGAATGCCTTGCATAACAAGGGGCTTCTATAAAGTAGTTTATACATGTATTCTACCATAATTATATTCTGTACAGTGTGCCTCTTTATAGAAATAAAGTTGTTTGTCTGTCGATGTTTTATGCAAAGAGAGCTAATTTTTAAATTTTTCAAATTTCTACAACAAATTTGGTAAACTGGCCTTTCCAGAGCCCAAGATCAATTCATGGTGGCCCTTGGCCTGGTGGCTAAAGCTCTTGCTTCACACAGTGAATGTCAGGGGTTGATTCCCGGTGAGGGTAGAAACATTGAGCGTGTTTCCTTACACTGGTTGTCTATGTTCATCTATCAGTAAAATGGGTACCTGGGCATTAGTCGACTGGTGTGGGCCATATCCCAGGAAAAAATGATCTAATTTGCCCGAAATTCTCTGCATAATAAGCGGCTTTCTATATAGCAGTAGTTCACTGATGTCAGATAGGCCTGTATACTTTGTCTATGTACTTGTAAAAATAAAGATATTATATTGCATTATTTTTTTTTTTTTTTTTTTTCAACAAGTCGGCCGTCTCCCACCGAGGCAGGGTGACCCAAAAAAAAGAAAGAAAATCCCCAAAAAGAAAATACTTTCATCATCATTCAACACTTTCACCACACTCACACATTATCACTGCTTTTGCAGAGGTGCTCAGAATACAACAGTTTAGAAGCATATATGTATAGAGATACACAACATATCCCTCCAAACTGCCAATATCCCTTTCTCTATGTAAAATACTTAAGGTCTGAAGCTGATCAGAAGAGGCATTCTCTTGTTATTGTACAGAAAATAATTTATTTTACGAAGTTGGTAAATTAAACTCACAAGGCCCACAATCAAAATCTATAAAGCTGACAAAAGAACAGACACCTGGGGATGTCAACAACAATAAAACCTTTCTCAAGACACTATACATCACTACTGAATATTTTAAGTTGATCAGTCCAAGCATTCTGAAGTTATAAATAAAATCCTCAGAAGAAAATGAAAAGTTCTGGCATCCACTGTAGGTTCCCACTGCAGAGAGATTAATAATAATAATAACACTGAAAATAATAATAATCTTTAAGAGCCAGAAGAATAAAAAAAATAAATTTGGTGTAAGGGTTGCACTTACCACCTTGGCATTACTTTCTCTGAAGTCTCCTGAGAACATTGCATGCATCATGTCACAGCGAGCCATTAGTAAGGGACGGTGAGCTGCTGTGGTACCGTCCTCCAGTTGGAACATTACATCGGAGAAGAGGCCGCCCTCTAAACACAACTCTTTTAATCGACCACACAACATCTGTGTCAAATATTAATAAGAGTATTGTGCATCTATAAGAAAAAATAAACTTCTTATAGTATTTTATAGTCAAAAGCTCCCTTGGATATTCAATATAAGAAGGGATAACACTGAATAAAATATAGTAACATAGATTCAAAATTTTTATATCATTGCAAAGTTTACAATGTGTGGTCTACATATTTACAAAATATGAAGTACAAAGAAAGCCACTAGCATGAATAGATATTCTGGGCAGACTAATCCTAATTCTTACTGCCTACTCAATAATGATACAGGTTATGGAGTGGTACATTCTAATGCTAATTAATTCACATTATTACAAAAGTTAGGTAATTAAAAATGTTATAATTAATAAGATTTATAACAATGAGGTAGCAAAAACAACAGTATTACAATTAGTGTAATTTAGTAATGGGAATGGTTTTATCTTGGTATGCTACAATGTAACTTTCTCACCTGCATTCCTAGGAATACATGTCAAGGATCTTCAACTGTTCCCAGTAATCTAGGTTTAATTGTACTTATGTGTGCCATGAACATTCTCTGTACATTCTCCAGGTCAGCAATTTCACCTTCCTTGAAAGGCACTGTTAATTTACAGCAATATTCCAGTCTAGACAGAACAAGCAGTTTGAAAAGAATCATCATGGGCTTGGGATTCCTAGTTTTGAAGGTTCTCAATATCCATCCTATCATTTTCCTAGCAGATGTGGTAGATACACTGTTGTGATCTTTGAAGGTGAGAACTTTTGACATTACCACTTCCAGGTCCTTCACATTAGTTTTTTGCTCTATTGTGTGGTTGGAAATTGTTTTATACTCTGATATAGTTTTGATTTCCTTAAATTTTCCAAGTCTGAGTAATTGAAATTTCTCTTCATTGAACTTCACATTGTTTTCTGCGGCCCATTTAAAGATTTGGTTGATGTCCACTTGGAGTCTCGCAGTGTCTTCAATGGAGGATACTGCCATGGCAATTCGGGTGTCATCCGCAAAGGAAGACACAGAGCTGATTTACATTCATTATTATTATTTTTATTATCACACTGGCCGATTCCCACCAAGGCAGGGTGGCCCGAAAAAGAAAAACTTTCACCATCATTCACTCCATCACTGTCTTGCCAGAAGGGTGCTTTACACTACAGTTTTTAAACTGCAACATTAACACCCCTCCTTCAGAGTGCAGGCACTGTGCTTCCCATCTCCAGGACTCAAGTCCGGCCTGCCGGTTTCCCTGAACCCCTTCATAAATGTTACTTTGCTCACACTCCAACAGCACGTCAAGTATTAAAAACCATTTGTCTCCATTCACTCCTATCAAACACGCTCACTCATACCTGCTGGAAGTCCAAGCCCCTCGCACACAAAACCTCCTTTACCCCCTCTCTCCAACCTTTCCTAGGCCAGACCCCTACCCCGCCTTCCTTCCACATACAGACTGATACACTTTTGAAGTGATTCTGTTTCGACTCCATTCTCTCTACATGTCCGAACCACCTCAACAACCCTTCCTCAGCCTCTGGACAACAGTTTTGGTAATCCCGCACCTCCTCCTAACTTCCAAACTACGAATTCTCTGCATTATATTCACACCACACATTGCCCTCAGACATGACATCTCCACTGCCTCCAGCCTTCTCCTCGCTGCAACATTCATCACCCATGCTTCACACCCATATAAGAGCGTTGGTAAAACTATACTCTCATACATTCCCCTCTTTGCCTCCAAGGACAAAGTTCTTTGTCTCCACAGACTCCTAGTGCACACTCACTCTTTTCCCCTCATCAATTCTATGATTCACCTCATCTTTCATAGACCCATCCGCTGACACGTCCACTCCCAAATATCTGAATACATTCACCTCCTCCATACTCTCTCCCTCCAATCTGATATTCAATCTTTCATCACCTAATCTTTTTGTTATCCTCATAACCTTACTCTTTCCTGTATTCACCTTTAATTTTCTTCTTTTGCACACCCTACCAAATTCATCCACCAATCTCTGCAACTTCTCTTCAGAATCTCCCAAGAGCACAGTGTCATCAGCAAAGAGCAGCTGTGACAACTCCACTTTGTGTGTGATTCTTTATCTTTTAACTCCACGCCTCTTGCCAAGACCCTCGCATTTACTTCTCTTACAACCCCATCTATAAATATATTAAACAACCACGGTGACATCACACATCCTTGTCTAAGGCCTACTTTTACTGGGAAATAATTTCCCTCTTTCCTACATACTCTAACTTGAGCCTCACTATCTCGTAAAAACTCTTCACTGCTTTCAGTAACCTACCTCCTACACCATACACTTGCAACATCTGCCACATTGCCCCCTATCCACCCTGTCAAATGCCTTTTCCAAATCCATAAATGCCACAAAGACCTCTTTAGCCTTATCTAAATACTGTTCACTTATATGTTTCACTGTAAACACCTGGTTCACACACCCCTACCTTTCCTAAAGCCTCCTTGTTCATCTGCTATCCTATTCTCCATCTTACTCTTAATTCTTTCAATAATAACTCTACCATACACTTTACCAGGTATACTCAGCAGACTTATCCCCCTATAATTTTTGCACTCTCTTTTATCCCCTTTGCCTTTATACAAAGGAACTATGCATGCTCTCTGCCAATCCCTAGGTACCTTCCCTCTTCCATACATTTATTAAATAATTGCACCAACCACTCCAAAACTATATCCCCACCTGCTTTTAACATTTCTATCTTTATCCCATCAATCCCGGCTGCCTTACCCCCTTTCATTTTACCTACTGCCTCACGAACTTCCCCCACACTCACAACTGGCTCTTCCTCACTCCTACAAGATGTTATTCCTCCTTGTCCTATACACGAAATCACAGCTTCCCTATCTTCATCAACATTTAACAATTCCTCAAAATATTCCCTCCATCTTCCCAATACCTCTAACTCTCCATTTAATAACTCTCCTCTCCTATTTTTTAACTGACAAATCCATTTGTTCTCTAGGCTTTCTTAACTTGTTAATCTCACTCCAAAACTTTTTCTTATTTTCAACAAAATTTGTTGATAACATCTCATCCACTCTCATTTGCTCTCTTTTTACATTTCTTCACCACTCTCTTAACCTCTCTCTTTTTCTCCATATACTCTTCCCTCCTTGCATCACTTCTACTTTGTAAAAACTTCTCATATGCTAACTTTTTCTCCCTTACTACTCTCTTTACATCATCATTCCACCAATCACTCCTCTTCCCTCCAGCACCCACTTTCCTGTAACCACAAACTTCTGCTGAACACTCTAACACTACATTTTTAAACCTACCCCATACCTCTTCGACCCCATTGCCTATGCTCTCATTAGCCCATCTATCCTCCAATAGCTGTTTATATCTTACCCTAACTGCCTCCTCTTTTAGTTTATAAACCTTCACCTCTCTCTTCCCTGATGCTTCTATTCTCCTTGTATCCCATCTACCTTTTACTCTCAGTGTAGCTACAACTAGAAGTGATCTGATGTATCTGTGGCCCCTCTATAAACATGTACATCCTGAAGTCTACTCAACAGTCTTTTATCTACCAATACATAATCCAACAAACTACTGATTTACATGACTCACAAAATCGTAATGACACGATTGTATGGTATGTTTTTTTTTTTCTATGATTTACATCTCTGCCTATCTCAGATATGTGGATGAGGAATAGGATGGGAGTGAGTATTGTGCCAAGGCACAGTATTCGCTTTCACAGTACAGAGCTTTTCACCGTAGCTGCCTCAGACTGTACTCTGTTTACCATTACTCTTTGTGTTCTGTTTGTTAGGAAGTTACAGATCCATCTACCAACTTTTCCTATTATTCCTTTATCACACATTTTGTGTACTATTACACCATGATCGCACTTGTCAAAGTTCTTCGCAAAGACTGTGTATACTACATCTGCATTTTGTTTGTCCTCTAGAGTGTACAAGACCTTGTCACAGTGATCCAGTAGTTGGGACAGGCAGGAGTGGCCTGCTCTAAAACCATGCTGCCCTGGGTTGTGTAATTGATAGGTATCTAGGTGGGCAGCAATCTTTCTTCTTACAACCCTTTCAAAGATTTTTATGATATGGGACGTTAATGCTATCGATCTGTAATTCTTTGCTACTGCTTTACTGCCCCCTTTATGGAGTGGGGCTATGTCTGTTGTTTTAAGTGACTGTGGGATGACTTGAGGGAGCATGGACACAAGAATGCTAAAGGCATGTGACAGGGACTTCTTGCAGCTGTTGATAAACATGGAGTTCCATGAGTCTGGACCTGGGGCAGAGTGCATGGGCATGTCATTTGTTGCCTTTTCGAAGTCATGTGGTGTTAGGATAATATCAGAGATTTTTGAATTGACCAAATTCTGAGTCTCAGTCATAAAAAATTCATTTAGGTCATCAACTCTTAGTCTGGTTAGCAGCTCACTAAACACAGAGTCAAACTGGGACCTTAGTATCTCACTAATTTCCTTGCTGTAATCTGCGTATGTCCCGTCTCGTCTAAGCAGGGGCCCAATACTAGATGTTGTTTTTGCCTTAGATTTGGCATAGGAAAAGAAATATTTTGGATTTATTTCAATTTCATTTATGGCTTTTAGTTCTTCTTGAGCTTCTTGTCTCCTGTATGATTCCTTAAGCTTAAGTTTGATATTTGCTATTTCTCTACCCAGTGCCTCCCTTCATATTTCAAATATACTGGCCCCATTCAGCAGCTCTGTAATTCTTCGCCTTTCACCTGTATAGGGAGCATCTCTCTCTTTCTAGTTTACATCTTCTCTTCCTTTTTTCTTAAAGGAATATGCCTCAAGCATATCTCAAGTGCCACAGAGTTAATTCTTTCTGGGCAGAATCAGTTAAATAGTATAGCTAATGTGATTTATGGCTGAATTCCACAGTTAATATCATAAATTTGTAATAAATTTGGACTGAGTAAGTCACTTGCACACCCTGTTTGCTGGTAGGGAAGCTGGCAGTGGAACAACAGCTCCTGGTTCCTTTGTTTACTTTTGCTAGTGAAGCATATTAGTACACTGGACACACGGTCATCCCCTGAGTAGTTAACCATGATACACTGTGTACACCCTGATCAGATGGAAGGAGAACCAAAGAGTTGTCGTGAGGACAAAAGTATTGGCAGGTGGCAGATTTGTGGGTACGAAAAATTGTGCATACTAGTACGCTGAACACACTGTAGGCATTTGCATACTAGTATGTTGGACACACTGCAGGCACTTGTGTACTAGTACGTGAACATAGTTAAAGGGTTAATAGGAATGAATGCTACTCATGAGTAATACTTGGTTATCTATATTGCTGAAATATTTTTTCTGTGCAACAAGCTTCAGTAGAATACAGGCGAATATAAAACTGGAGACAACTGAAGAAGCAATTCTGAGGTGTTCAATCTCTCAGCTATGACAAGAGGTGGCTTGATTGGAGGCTGAGGCACTGACCACCTCCCATCAAGTCTGAGGGGCCAACAACCTTAAAATTACTATTTTTTTGCTATCTCAAACATTATACTTGCCTTTTTGCAGCTGAAGAAGCCTGCTGCACAAGTAAAATATTTTGGCAACACAGATACACAGGTGTTGCACAAGTGTCTTATTCATTAACTTGTCAATATTATATACCTTCAATAATATAATAATAGGAATCAGCTGGAACTAGGAACTAGGCAAAAGATAAGAATTATAGTGAACTGGAATACTTGCCAGAAATGTTGAACTCTGTCCAAAGGAATATTAGAGCACATGGAAGTGAATGAATATTAAGAAATAGCATATCATAAGGAGCTGAATTGTCAAAGAAGCAACAAGACATCGTTGTAAACACTGAAAGAGAGAGCACAGTTCCTAAGTCACTAACAAAACTATTCAATATTACATTAAAGACAGAAGAGATACCAGCAACCTGAGAAACTGCAAGCATAATACCAGTAATCAAGGCAACAGACACGTTTATCCTGCAAAGTATTAGAGACAGAGAAGAGCTGACAAATCAGTTGACCCCTGGCTGTCTTCAAACAGGCACTGGACAAAGCACCTAAAGTCGGTACCTGACCAGCCGAGCTGTGGTTTGTACATTGGATTGCGTGCACCAGCAGTAAGAGCCTGGTTGATCAGGCCCTGATCCACCATGAAGCCTGGTCATAGACTGGGCCACAGGGACGCTGCCCCCCGGAACTCTCTCCAGGTAAACTCCAGGTAAACTCAGCTGGAGAGGACAAGGTTCACTACAGACCAGCATCATAGATTCAAATAAGGAAAATCAAGACTGAGTAACCTACAAGAGGCATCTGATGCAGCATCTCACATGAGAATTATTTACACCCTGGAAAATCAGACTGAGTTATAAGAAAGTTCACTGCAAATATAAGTACTTGACAGAGAGAGTATAAAGGGTCAGAGTGAAAGATATAGAAACAGAGAGAAGCAGCAAGAGGTTTCCCAGGGATTAGTTTCCTGTCCTGAGCTGTTCTTGATGTATGTCACTGACCAACCAGATTAAAGATATTCCTACATGACCCTGTCTGCAAATGGTGAAAAAACAATGACCTGTCAGAAGAGAGATATTCCTACATGAACTTGTTTGTAGATGATGCAAAACTAATGTGAAGAGTGCAGATAGAAAATTTCAAAATCATGTAACATGACACAGACAGACTGTATGAAGTTAGTTTGAGGCAATTTTCTGTGAGGAAAAAATAAGAAAGACTTTTGGGTAACAACACTGAACCCCTCCATGGTAAAGTGAAGAAGAATCCTTCCTCCTTCACCATGCATGTCATAAGAAGCAGCTAACATACCAGAGCAAGAGGCTAGTAACCCCTTCTCTTGTATAAATTACTAAATGTAAAAAGAAGAAAAACCTTGAAAGTGCTTTTTTCTTTTTTGGGTCACCCTGCCTTGGTGGGAGACGACTGGTATGTATACAAAAAAAAAAAAAGGACACTAAACCTATCAGCAGAGGCCAACATCAATACAATAGCATCAGCATCATTAGCAATGCTGGAAAATATAATTAAAAGTCTGCAGGAACATGAACAAGGATTTCTTCAATATATACCACTTCTTGAGGACAATACTGTCAATACAGCTCCAGCATGGAACCTACACCTCTTCAACATATAAGAAAACTGAGGAAGGTTCAAAGATTTGCTACCAGGCTTTTCCCTGCAATTAAGGATTAGAAATATCAGAACAGGCTTGAAGAGATGAACCTCATACCATTGTAATCTCAAGAGAACAGAGGTTACATGGCCACAGCAAAAAAATACTGTATACAACAATATTAACAAAGTTAAGATTGACAGAATGTTTGATAAGATGGACCAGTATGATGAGGAAAGACATGGAACATAAAACCTAAAATGAACCAAGGAGATACTGTATAAGGAAAAACTTGTGCAGTGTGAGGACAGTAAGCAAGTGCAATGCACTGGAGGAGGAGGAAATAGAGACTAACTCCATACATGAGTCTCCATATAAAATACTCCTATGAAAAACCATATATGGCTTGGAAGACATCACACAGGGCCCAGGAGCTGAAACTTGAACACTGCAAAAATAAACAGGTGAGTACATACTTAAAGAAAACAAAAGCTGTAGACTTACCTGCAGGTACTGTTGGGACAAATCATTATTTAAAAATTCCTCCTTTTTCATTAGATTTGTGACGTACATTTGAAGCTCTGGCAATTCTAAGAACTCGGCAGCTTGTTTAAGTTCACTCAAATCAGTGGATGGTAAGTGGCACTCACGACAAAATATGGTGCCAGTGTAGAGGAAGTGTACTAATACACGGAGTACAATACCGCTGACCAGTTTACTGAGGTGCACCACTGTTTGAATGGGTACCCAACCCGGAGTCTGGCGGGGACTGTGATCACAGCTACTTTGTTCACTACCTCTGTCATCCCACTACAAGAAAATGGAAGAAAAAAAGTTTCACTGAATATAAAAATAGCAATAAATATATTTAAATACAATAGTAGTAAAACACCTGTATGAGTGTGAAGAATGCTGCAGCTACAGGCGCATAAAAAATTCCGGCGATGGTAAATGTTTGTGAATATTATGCACAAAATGCAATGAAGAAATTGATGGGTATGGTGGTTAAGGGCATTATTCAAAAATGGTGAAGCTGTTGAGAGGTTTAGCCCAGTAAATGATGGTGCAAGTTTATTAGATGATGAGGGTAGAAAAAATGCGCAGAATCTGGGGAAGCATGGAAGGAGGGTATGGAAATAGGAAATATTTGATCAGTAGATTAAAATCAAAAAGGTATATGGAACATCTTTATCAGAGCGCAGCGAAAAAATCCAGCAGAATGTTATCTTATATCAGAGTCATGTAAAATTAGGATTGGTATCTTACTCAGAGTTAGTGAGGAAAAGAACTTGGTGGTATCTTACATCTAGTAAAGGCAAAAGAATATGTGTGGGTACTTACATCATAGTAAAGGCAAAAAAACATTGGGATGGAGATGGGATGTAAATACAACAATGTAAATACTTTTTATATAAAACTTTCTATGGAAGAATTTTAAAAATATAAAATATATAATAATTGCTGTTTGTGAATCATTATTTATTAAAAAAAAAGGGTTTAATTTTGAAAAGCACAAACAGCATTAGTTGTATAATTTTACTATTATTTAAAAGATGCAACAATTAAAAAAATTCCTATAAAAAAATTGTTTAAAATTTAATAGCAAATTGTTTGTCTGAGATTAATTTTTTTTATTTAAGTGGAAGCATTAAAAAATTTTTGGGGCATGCGCACCTAAGGATGAAAGATAATCAGGGTCAGAAGAGGAACTGCCCCAAATTCCCCAGATCAGGAAAATGGGGGGGAATGAAGGAAAACAGGGTTTGCCCAAAGGGAAGAGGAAGGTTGTTCAAATACTTGGATCAAGACCCCCTTTTACCAGTACAAAGCCTTCAGGAAATGTTAGGGAAATAATGCTTGGAATTTAAACCTTTTTTTTTACATTTTCCTATTTTTTTCCAAAATATTTCAAGAGATTTATCAACAACAAAATTACAGTTCAACAGTGACTTTATTCCCATATAATAAAATAATTGTTTAGACTTCTTTCTTTTCTTTCAACAAACCGGCCGTATCCCACCGAGGCGGGGTGGCCCTAAAGGAAAAACGAAAGTTTCTCCCTTTACATTTAGTAATATATACAGGAGAAGAGGTTACTAGCCCCTTGCTCCCGGAATTTTAGTCGCCTCTTACAACACGCATGGCTTACGGAGGAAGAATTCTGTTCCACTTCCCCATGGAGATAAGAGGAAATAAACAAGAATAAGAACTAGAAAGAAAATAGAAGAAAACCCAGAGGGGTGTGTATATATGTGCTTGTACATGTATGTGTAGTGTGACCTAAGTGTAAGTAGAAGTAGCAAGACGTACCTGAAATCTTGCATGTTTATGAGACAGAAAAAAGGACACCAGCAATCCTACCATCATGTAAAACAATTACAGGCTTAATTGTTTAGACATTTACAATATATAGCCCTAGAGACAACTGTCTAAAACAGAGGTTGGCAAATTTGTGTACAGTGAAATTCCCCACTAAACTTGAAAGTCCACAGATTCTGGAAAACACAAGAGCACTCTGATTCAAAATAGTCTATTGAATCCATTTGTATGGAGAATACAGTCATAAAGTCATTTTATTTATACATTTATTGAGCCCCCATTACCCCCGAGATTTTCATTTTTACTTCATTTAGAGTAATTTTTCCCAGTTTCCCAACCTCTGGTCTAAAACATAGAGAGGGGTTCATATACACGTACCTGCTCTATACTAATAGCTTGGAAGGCTGCATGATTCAGTTCCCTGTGTATCCCAGGTCGCTGGTCTTGTGGTAGTGTCTGCATGCTCGATCTTCTTTTCACAGCCTCTTTTAGTCGACTGTAATGTGATTCATAGTTTTATATCAGAAAGTAACATTCTTACATAATAATTATCATAAACTGTTCACAAATTCCAATTAAGTTTACAGGAGAAAATCACAGTCACCTTTAATTATCTTAGCCAGACAAGCTCTGGATTCACAGGTATATAATTGACACTGATAAGAAAGAGACACAGGTGCCGAGCAAGATATACTGTGACACAGGTGCCAAGCAAGATTATAGTGTAACATAGGTGCCAAGCAAGATTATATTGTGACACAGGTGCTGAGCAAATTTATAGTGTGACAAGGTTTTGCTCCTTGTGAAGCTTTATCAACTCAGTTATTCACCAACTTGATCAAGTGTTACACAGAGCAAAACAATGCCGCAAAAAATGCGTGTTCTTCACCAGTGTTTTTTCTTCATGCAAGCTGTGATGCAACTGACCCACAAGTAGTGAAACAAAGATGACTAGTTAAGAAGCAAAACTGTCTTTGTAAACATCAAAGGAAAACTGATGTATTAAGTGTTAACATGTCAATGAAATCTTATGTGTTAACCTCTCCATTTAATTGCTGTATCAAAATACACAATGTGGCAGACTTGGTCTATTGTATGGGAAGCCTACAAGACAAACATGCTTCTGCTAATGGACAAGGTCTCAATGCAGCAGACTCAGTCCACTGCATCAAGGCTTTCCAGCCCAGTACCTTGTTATGCCAAAGTTTGTTACATAGGGGGATCTGCTTTATCGAGGTTTCACTGTACTTTAATTTTATTTTAAAATATATCACACCTTACTGAAAGGCTGCAGCTTGACTCACCTGGCTGGTCTTGGCTGATTATGGTCACTACCAAGGAGACACTCTGTATCTGAGTTGAAGTTACCCAGAGTTGTATCACCAAATGTGCCACTCAGCTGCAAACATGTTATGTTTAATTAGACTATCTTCAGTAATTTGTTGAACTACAGTAATACCCTGTACAATGTGGTTCCTAACAGTGCAGGTTTTGATATAGCACAGTTTATAACTTTTTTTTATTATGAGTACTTTTTTATATGAAATTATGAGTAGGAAGAGGAAATGTTATGAAGCTTGTGAACCTAACAAATGTAAATAGTTAACACCAGAAAAACTTGGAAATATAAAGAATCATGAAGAAGAAACATCGTATGCTAAAATAGTAACACATATCCATATGGCGGTAAAAAAAAATGGAGATAAAAGGAAAACTTTTTCTGCAAGTGGTGGCTGGTTTTATAACTTTATAAAGTGTAAGTGGCTCCATAATGTTTGAATTGTAGGTGAAAGTGCTAGTGCTGATAATAATGCTGCTGAAAAAGGAGGCTAAAATGATGAACAAATTTTTAATGTCGATGAAACAGATTTATTTTGGAAGAAGATGCCTTCGTACGCTTATTTAACATATTATAACAGTATTTTAAACAGTGTGGTTTTGCAGAGAATGGAACTTTTTCGGCACCTATTAACCTCGTTATGTAAGATACTCCTGTACAGGAAATATCCATTAGAAGCTCTTGTAGTACACTGATATTCCATTACAATATGGCCCCGCTTTACAGCATCTTGCCTTATGGTGTTCTGCTAATGTGGACATTTCAAGTTATGACCAAAGCTTGCTATATGGCTCCCCCCACCTGACTTTCTAAAACAGTCACTGCACGCCTCTCGGCTTGTTTACAGTCTTTTTGAGCATGTCTCTCCATTATGTCTAGAAACTTTCCAAAATTTCTAGGGTTTTAAAGAGTGCAAAAATTATAGGGGGATAAGTCTGTTGAGTGTACCTGGTAAAGTGTATGGTAGAGTTATAATTGAAAGAATTAAGAGTAAGACGGAGAATAGGATAGCAGATGAACAAGGAGGCTTTAGGAAAGGTAGGGGGTGTGTGGACCAGGTGTTTACAGTGAAACATATAAGTGAACAGTATTTAGATAAGGCTAAAGAGGTCTTTGTGGCATTTATGGATTTGGAAAAGGCGTATGACAGGGTGGATGGGGGGGCAATGTGGCAGATGTTGCAAGTGTATGGTGTAGGAGGTAGGTTACTGAAAGCAGTGAAGAGTTTTTACGAGGATAGTGAGGCTCAAGTTAGAGTATGTAGGAAAGAGGGAAATTTTTTCCCAGTAAAAGTAGGCCTTAGACAAGGATGTGTGATGTCACCGTGGTTGTTTAATATATTTATAGATGGGGTTGTAAGAGAAGTAAATGCGAGGGTCTTGGCAAGAGGCGTGGAGTTAAAAGATAAAGAATCACACACAAAGTGGGAGTTGTCACAGCTGCTCTTTGCTGATGACACTGTGCTCTTGGGAGATTCTGAAGAGAAGTTGCAGAGATTGGTGGATGAATTTGGTAGGGTGTGCAAAAGAAGAAAATTAAAGGTGAATACAGGAAAGAGTAAGGTTATGAGGATAACAAAAAGATTAGGTGATGAAAGATTGAATATCAGATTGGAGGGAGAGAGTATGGAGGAGGTGAACGTATTCAGATATTTGGGAGTGGACGTGTCAGCGGATGGGTCTATGAAAGATGAGGTGAATCATAGAATTGATGAGGGAAAAAGAGTGAGTGGTGCACTTAGGAGTCTGTGGAGACAAAGAACTTTGTCCTTGGAGGCAAAGAGGGGAATGTATGAGAGTATAGTTTTACCAACGCTCTTATATGGGTGTGAAGCGTGGGTGATGAATGTTGCAGCGAGGAGAAGGCTGGAGGCAGTGGAGATGTCGTGTCTGAGGGCAATGTGTGGTGTGAATATAATGCAGAGAATTCGTAGTTTGGAAGTTAGGAGGAGGTGTGGGATTACCAAAACTGTTGTCCAGAGGGCTGAGGAAGGGTTGTTGAGGTGGTTCGGACATGTAGAGAGAATGGAGCGAAACAGAATGACTTCAAGAGTGTATCAGTCTGTAGTGGAAGGAAGGCGGGGTAGGGGTCGGCCTAGGAAGGGTTGGAGGGAGGGGGTAAAGGAGGTTTTGTGTGCGAGGGGCTTGGACTTCCAGCAGGCATGTGTGAGCGTGTTTGATAGGAGTGAATGGAGACAAATGGTTTTTAATACTTGACGTGCTGTTGGAGTGTGAGCAAAGTAACATTTATGAAGGGATTCAGGGAAACCGGCAGGCCGGACTTGAGTCCTGGAGATGGGAAGTACAGTGCCTGCACTCTGAAGGAGGGGTGTTAATGTTGCAGTTTAAAAACTGTAGTGTAAAGCACCCTTCTGGCAAGACAGTGATGGAGTGAATGATGGTGAAAGTTTTTCTTTTTCGGGCCACCCTGCCTTGGTGGGAATCGGCCAGTGTGATAATAAAAAAAATATAAAAATATTTTGTATGTACTCTGATAATTATACTTACATCTACCTGTACCTAAATAAACTTGCACACAGTGCTGGAGTGCAGGTACACATTAAAATCACTAAGAGTGCCCCTCTAGTCTTGATGCCACTGTAATAATAGTACTAATACAAAATAATAATAATCACTCTTGGGCACATTACATGTCTTCTTTTACGTTAATATAGACATTTTCATTAATCCATCTATGATATTTTCTTCAAAATTATATAAGAAACATGTTACATAGAATATAAACATGATACACTCACAGTACAAAAAATTTCACATAAATATGAGATGTGGTAGCTGGGTGGAGGAAAAAAATGACGTTTCCTCTGGTCCAGCACCAGAGAAAATATGTATCAATCCACCTTTGACCCAGTCACTCCACTTAACACATTAGGCTTTGATAAATTAGACACATGTGCAACTCTTGGGTATCTTTATTGAGGAAACGTTTCGCCACACAGCACATACTTTCAAATGTTGAAAAAATGTATATATACGTTTGGACCATTTACGGGTTAAATTTAGTGATTTATACATGAGAAGGGATTACAAGCCCCTTGCTCCCAGCATTTTAGTTGCCTCTTAGGACATGCATGGCAGTAAACAAACCCTGTATAATTCAGGATGTTTCCATTTGTTTAACCCTTTGACTGCCGCAGGCCCCTTTCTGAAACTGTCATTCTATGTCACAAAATATTTGAAAAAAAAAAAATATTTTTTCTTACCAAAATGTTAGGATTATTTTACTGAGTGTTTTAAGCCTAAAACAAAAATTTTGCCATCAGTACTTACCGAGATACAGAAGCATGAAGTTGGCAGAAAATGAGCAGTGTATGGCAACAACAGCGAATGCCTCCAATTCAAAGGTTTCTTGTATTTTCCAATATTTTTCTTTTCTAAGCAACTTATGTGGCCTGTGAGACCAAAGTAAGGTGCAATGTTCAAATATACACTCATTGTTTACAACACAATAACTGAACAAACATTATCACTATTAGTTTGTGTATAAAACTTTTTTACACAAACAATACAAAACATTGTTTATTACTATTGTTCCATAATATATATACATATGTTCAGCCACTGAACACTTTCCTAGAACTGCTGCAGCTTGTGGAATTCTTTGAAACATGGGTATATGCAGAGTGGCACTTAGTAAGTAAGTAAGTTTATTCAGGTATACACAAATACAGTTACACAGAATTATTGTACATAGCAGCATATGTGTAGAGAACCTAGGATAACCCAAAAAAGTCAGACAGAGTAACTTATTTCCATTGGGGTCCTTTTCTTGACATTCCTCACACATAAAACGAGTGTCTCTGCATGTTTGTGGGCGTTTTGTGGTATGTTCACATACAAAACACCTCTTCTGAGCACTTTTCTTGAAAGCAGTAGGAGGCAGTTGTATGGGGTAGTGATCACCAGGCCTCAAACGAGATGGCGTGTGTTGGTAATTTCGTGGGCGCTGGTCTATTGCAGGTGTTGCTCCTTGTTACTTGGCGATTATTTGTCTGATGACTGACAAACAAAATTCACCATATTTTGGTTTGTTGTTGGTCCTCAACTTGTATATGTTATAAGCATTTAGCATGGAAATATCAACAAGATGGAAAAAAAGTTTTATATACCACTTATAACCCTTGCGTACACAATCAGCAAACCCAATCTGCATGTCACATTTGTCCACTAAGCGCATATTGAGGTTGTCGTCCATGACAGCTGCAGGTTTTAGAATGGGCTCATTGGTCTCTCTATTCTGCCTGCCAGTGTGTGCCATTTCATTTCGGTGAACTGATGTCAACAATGTGACATCACGTTTATCATGCCACCTAAATACCATGATGTCATTGGCAGCAAAGACTTGCACCTCACCTCAGCGAGTGCCAGCGTCGAACCTTGGCATATGTTTACGATTACCACGCACTGTGCCACACACATGACAGGTTCACTCGCAAGAAATCACTGAGTATGGGGCTTGTGTACCAGTTATCAGCAAATAATATATGCCCCTTACCAAGATATGGTTCCATCATTGTTTGAACCACATCACCAGAGATACCCAATAACTTCCTGGTATCTCTCAATGTATTACTGCCAGTGTACACAATGATATCCAAAACGAGACCACTTTTGCAATCACACAGTACAAATAACTTTATACCAAAGCATTTCCTCTTGCTTGGTATGTATTGCTTGAATGAGAGACTTCCCTTGAATAAAATCAAAGACTCGTCAATAACAAGCTTCCTGAAGGGATAAAAATACAAGCAACACTTTTGCTTCAGGTACATAAACACATTTCTGATCTTATATAACCTGTCACTTCTGTCAGGCCTTGTTTTGTCTGAAAAGTGTAACATACGTAACAGTATCAAGAAACGATTCACACCTATAATGTCACTAAAACCTGGGGTTGAAATCAGGCATTCTATTGACCAGTATGTGTTGACTGTGTGCTTATACACATGTGGCATAAGCATTATTGTGGCAAAAAAACAGGTACATCTCTCCCACAGTTGTGTCCTTCCACTGGTGTAGCCGTGATCTTGGTGAGAGAATTGTATTTGCCATGGTGTACTCACAGTATGTGTTGGTTTCCCTGACAATAATGTCCATCAGGGGTTCATCGAAGAATAACTGAAAGCATTCCAGTTCAGTAGCATTGTTCCCAAGTGTGCACGATGGCCGTATTCCACTTTGTGTTTCATCAAAGTCATGGGGACTGGGAACAAACTTGTTACCTTCCTGCAAATCCCAGATGTGGTCTGCTGGTGGGTTCTGAATATTGAAACGTGGTTGTGCAGGTTGTGGGAGTGTGAGGATGTGTGAGGCTGGTTGTGCAGAGTCAGCAGCGTGGGTAGTAGCGTGGCCCGCTGCCGGTGCCACATGACTCATGCCACCATCACTATCACCACCACCACCTGCTGCCTCACTCACATCATTCATACCCAGCGTACCAATATCGTCATCTTCGCTATCAGGTCGTGGTGTAGGGCCACGGGATGTGCTCCGATATTTACTCCTTCTCCTTGGAACAGCATATGAAACAATACCAGACCGCATGCTATGTCATATATACTGCCGCTTCACTGGGGAATATTCACCCTCACTGTCACAACTAGAACTGCTTTCAATAACTTTGAAATCACTATCACTATCACTTTCACTGCTCACATCTGAGTCTTGTACATGGGCAAATAGTTTCCTCATTCATCCTGGTACAGGTGAACGTGAACGTGAACGTGAACGTGAACATGAACAAGCCGGCCCAGCACCAGACGTGGAAGGTCATGGGTCATCTGGGTTTTCATCACTAATTACGTTATCCTGGGCACTTTTTTCAGTCACAACCACTAGAAAACCATGGAATTCACTTTCACTGACACTTCCATCGCTGTTAGAGCTATCACTTGGGAACAAAAGACCTCCAATCTGCCGAGGAGTGAGGTACTTCTTACTGCGAGGCATGGTGAAAATGGACTACCAAGGTGGCGTTCCCACAATGCACCACCGAGTCCCAGATTTTTTTCACAGGGTGCACACCCACCACTCAGACCCATTCTCTCTCATGTAGGCCTACCAGCTTTCTCCCACTTGATTTGAAGCCGCTAGAATTTATGCATATAAATACGTCAGAAACAGTGGCGCGTAAGACGTATATATATGACATAAACAGTCAAAGGGTTAAATGTTTTATTATCGATCCACGCTGTAACATGATTACAAACAAACCACAGTACAGGTGGGATTAGAACTCATGGCAAGTGAGTTGTAAAACTCCAGGCCAGTGCATAAGCCACTGGCCCAGTGGCTTATGTACTGGCCTGGAGTTTTACTACTCACTTGCCATGAGTTCTAACCCCACCTGTACTCTGGCCTGTATATTTTCCAGCTCTGATAATCTTTCCTACCCTGAAAGGCACCATGAACATAACAATGTTCGAGATATGAAAGCACAGGCAATTCAAACACTGAAATCACTGGCATGACTTCTCTTGTTTAGAAAGTTCTCTTAACCCCTTGAGGGTCCAAACCGTAGATCTATGTCATGAGCTCAGCTCACTCTGATAAGCTGTGAGCGGTAAATTTTGGCCTTGATCTGAGAGAATACATCTATGTGGTATGTGTGCACCACATAAAACAAATCCTGCAGCACACAGTGCATAATGAGAGAAAAAACTGAGACCGCAATTTTTTATTGAAACAGCGACTTTGCAGTGTTTTTTCGTATGTTTTTATAGTTGTATTTGCGATATCTTGGTCTCATTTGATAGAATGGAAGACATATTACAGAAATAGAGATGATTTTGATTGGTTTTAGTAACGGAAATGGCTTGAAACTGAGCTCAAAGTAGCAGAAATGTTAAATTTTTTCCGATGTTCAAGAGTAAAGAAATGACCTCACACGTCTAATACATGCCTACTGGTGGGTCTAATATACATTCACAAATGTGCTGATATTATTAATACAATTATTACAATATTGCATAACAGTAAATCTTCTATTTTTTGGTTTGAATAAAAATTCATTATGTGAATAAAAAATCAAAATGGAATTCATTAGTAAAGCCTGAAAATGTAACTAATGAACAGAGGAAATGTTAGTTTAGTGCCAGGAATTCCTACATTGTATTTCTGATCACTTTATTTTGTAGTTGAAACAGTTGACTTGGCAAATTCTTGTGCTCAATTGATAGAATAGAAGTAATACTAGTGAAATAGCTAAGAATTTGGTCGACTGGAATAGTGTAATTGGCCTAAAATGGGAGTCAAAGTCTGCAAAATCGCCGATGTGTAAATATCGCTGACACATCAAAATTCGCGAGAGCATAATTTCGTAAATTTTCCATCACATTTCGTACTTTTGTTTTATTACCTTCAGAAAAAGATTCTCTACCATTTCATAAGAAAAAAAACGACAAAATTATTTTTTGAAAATTCTTGGACACTTGTGCACCCTTTGAAATTTGGCCTCTGGACCCTGAAAGGGACCTCTATCAATTTCCTAACTTTTGCAAAATAAAAAAGCAACTACGATACTGAAAACATTTTAAAACTATTTCTTTAATTCAAGGTGATGGATGTTGTGGGTATGTCGGAATAAAAATTCTCGATGATTTTCAACTTATAATTCCATAGTATGTAGTTGTTCATAGAAACAGTGAAAGAATTCATGGTGAATCAAATTACAGGCAAATATGTAAATACTATCACATAATATTGTTTGAACCGTACAGTACATGCTGTATACTGTACTGGTGTTTTTAGTATTCTTTAAGAGTAAAGTTTAACATCTCACAGTTAGGGTAATGAAAAGTTCTGCCTGTGAATGCCCTAGCAAAGAGAGAGTTTAAGAGCAGTGTAAGGTCTTCCACGAGAGGTTAAGGAGACACACAAGCCATCGTTATCCTCTCACTGTATTCAAAGCATGTAGCAAGTAGCTGACAAACTAGGATTGCAAAAGAAACATAGTTAAGGGGGCATTTTTGATAGATGAGGTGTCCCCCTAAACAAGAATTAATCAAGTCAATTATAGTTTTTCCTTAACTCTGTCCTGATCCAGGGAAGATGTAGGTGCCCTGCCACTCCCCTTGCTCAATACACTAAACAAAAACCTATGAAGCGATGCAATTTATTTGCATCACTTTGCAACCTGTCTTATTGTATTTATGATTGTAATGAATTGCCTAATCTGAACTGACTAAAATTGTACATCAAGTCAAAATATAAATACAGTACATGGCTTATGATTAGTTTGCATGAAATACACTTGCAATATTAATGACTTTCCTTTGAGCCTTTTTGTATTATATTATACCTGTGTTTTAAGAAGAGCAAATTAAAAAAAAAAAACATATAATCATCTGAATGTATAACTACTGAATGGTTCATGAAAAAAATAAATTTAAATTTTTAATTTAAGTGTAATTAAATGGAGCTCACCATGCTGGAGTCTGAACTGCGTCTTGTGGTAACACAGTCAGAGAGGTCAGTCATGAGTAGCTTGTGGAAGGCAGTTGATGCAGCTGCAACCAAGAACCTGTACAAAACAATATACGTACTATTATTATTATTATTATTATTATTATTATTATTATTATTATTAAGTACATATATACACAGATTCACACACATGTAAATAGTATAGAGAAGGACACACACATACATAACATACACAAAAGCACATACACATAAATAGTGTTTACCTGGAGTTTACCTGGACAGAGTTCCGGGGGTCAACGCCCCCGCGGCCCGGTCTGTGACCAGGCCTCCTGGTGGATCAGAGCCTGATCAACCAGGCTGTTACTGCTGGCTGCACGCAAACCAACGTACGAGTCACAGCCCGGCTGGTCAGGAACCGACTTTAGGTGCTTGTCCAGTGCCAGCTTGAAGACTGCCAGGGGTCTGTTGGTAATCCCCCTTATGTATGCTGGAAGGCAGTTGAACAGTCTCGGGCCCTTGACACTTATTGTATGGTCTCTTAACGTGCTAGTGACACCCCTGCTTTTCATTGGGGGATGTTGCATCGTCTGCCAAGTCTTTTGCTTTCGTAGTGAGTGATTTTCGTGTGCAAGTTCGGTACTAGTCCCTCTAGGATTTTCCAGGTGTATATAATCATGTATCTCTCCCACCTGCATTCCAAGGAATACAGGTTTAGGAACCTCAAGCGCTCCCAGTAACTGAGGTGTTTTATCTCCGTTATGCGCGCCGTGAAGGTTCTCTGTACATTTTCTAGGTCAGCAATTTCACCTGCCTTGAAAGGTGCTGTTAGTGTGCAGCAATATTCCAGCCTAGATAGAACAAGTGACCTGAAAAGTGTCATCATGGGCTTGGCCTCCCTAGTTTTGAAGGTTCTCATTATCCATCCTGTCATTTTTCTAGCAGATGCGATTGTCACAAATTTGTGCCCCTCTAAAATTCTAATACCCCAACTACTATTGATTGTCATTGTTGTATTCAACGACCACTCTACCTCATAGTCTTAATTGTTTAATATCTACAGAATCTATCTCCTTTTTTACAACTTACCGCATCACTGTTCCATCTTATTTTATTATAAACTAGCCATTACTTGTCCTCAATAATTCTACCTCACTTTAAGAAATACTCAATTGCCCAATTTTATTCTAAAATCCCTATTATTGCCCAATTTTGCTTTAAACTATATTGATCAACTTATTGTAAACTTCTTTTACTGACCATTTTTTATTCTATACTTTTTAAACTAGTATTTTCAACTAAACTTTTATAATCCTGTCTACCATCTTACTAGCATATTATAACCAATCATTGCCATTTTTATTTTATCATTATTTTTTTTATATTCTTTTGCTACCTTACTTGTATATTTTATACTGTCATTTAAATCAGATATACTCTAATTCTGTAAACAACTTATATAAGACTAGTGATTTAACAACTGAGAGTCTTGTGCCTTTTGATATATAATTAGATTAAACTCATTTGTACTATGTCATTGTAGCTCAATTACATAGTCAATACCAAATTTCATTATATTAGACCATAGTGCAATTTACTAGTGAGAGACTTGTGCTATTTTTAATTTGATTAATTTTTATTACTGGAGTTTACTGAAGATATCCGGGGTCAACGCCTCTCTTGCCAGGCTCTGTGACCAGCCTCCTGGTGGATCAACCTGATCAACCAGGTGTTTCTGGGATTCACGCAAACCCAACGTACGAGCCACAGCCCGGATGATCAGGACTGACTTAAGGTGGCTTGCCAGTGCACTGCAAGACGCCAAGGGTCTGTTGGTAATCCCCTTATGTGTGTTGTGAGCAGTTGAACAGTCTTGAAGACCCTGACACTATGTTGGTCTTTACGTGCTATATCCCCCTTAGCTGTTTATTGGGGGATGTGCATCGTTGAAAGTCTTTGGCCTGATTTTGTATGAGTGATTTCTAGTGCAAGTTCGTACTACCCTCTAGATTTTCCAGGGATGTATATTAGATCAATGTATCTTTCCTCTGCTGTTGCCAGGATATTTTTGGTCAAGTTCGGTACTAGTCCCTCTAGGATTTTCCAGGTGTATATAATCATGTATCTTTCCCTCCTGCGTTCCAGGGAATACAGGTTTAGGAACCTCAAGCGATCCCAGTAATTGAGGTGTTTTATCTCCGTTATGCGCGCCGTGAAAGTTCTCTGTACATTTTCTAGGTCGGCAATTTCACCTGCCTTGAAAGGTGCTGTTAGTGTGCAGCAATATTCCAGCCTAGATAGAACAAGTGACCTGAAGAGTGTCATCATGGGCTTGGCCTCCCTAGTTTTGAAGGTTCTCATTATCCATCCTGTCATTTTTCTAGAGATGGTTGATACAATTTTTGGGCCCTTAAAGGTGAGATCCTCCGACAGCACCCCAGGTCTTTGACGTTGGTGTTTCGTTTTATTTGTGGCCAGAATTTGTTTTGTACTCTGATAAATTTTTAAATTTCCTATGTTTCCATATTGAGAAATTGAAATTTCTCATCTTGAACTTAAATTTTGTTTTTGCAGCCCACTAAAGTTTGGGTTTTATGTCCCCTGGAGTTTTGCAGTGTCTGCAAGGAAGACACTTCAGCAGTTTTGGGTGCATCTGCAAGGAAACACGGTGTGTGGCTGAATCCTTGTCTAGTGGGTTGGGTGAGGAACAAGATGGGCGAGCACTGTGCCTTGTGGAACAGAGCTTTTCACCGTACTGCCTCGGATTTTCTTGTTGACGACTATAGTTGTTTATAGCTCTTTTCTAGCTCAAAACGACCCCACAAAAGTTTTATATTTAGCCTTAGTGAAATTACAAGGGGAGTTTGTTCTATTTTTATTTGTATTTTATTTTACTAGTTTAACCTAGTTGTACTTTGTTCTTTCCAGACAACACATGACAACTCAACTTCTTTTTTGTAGTAGTGATTATCTTTTGTAAAATACCCTGCAAATTTAAAGCCCAAACTTCCCACCACTACAGATATCGTACTAAAAACTCAACACCAACTCAGGATATGAATAACCCAAAATTTAAACCGAAGTTTTATTGATCACGTTGACCCTGATCTAAACCCCTAATCGAACCCAATCAAAAATTTTTGGAAAGAAAAATGCCTTTTTTACCCCAATAAACCCAAACACTACCAAAACAATGAAAAGCATAGTACTTAACTAAAAAACCAGGTACTTAAGCAAACACTATGATGCCCTCCGGGCACCCTTGAATCCTAAAGACACCCTTCTCCTGCATTATTCTTACTGAGCCGGCGGCTTAAGCGGGAACAAATAATATCTCCCCCTTACAAGGATCACAAAAATTCACAAACTGCAGAAACAAACCAATTGGGGGTGGTATTCAATCTTTTATTTAAACCCAAAATTTATTTTGTATTGCCCCACTTGTTTTAGGGGAAAATATGGGGAATAATATTTGCAAATTTTATGAAAAAAAAACCTTAAAAGACCCCTTTTAAAAAATGGGTGCCATTTACCGGAACCTCACACAAACTCCCAATTTTCGTGGAAATTAAAGTCACTAATAAAAAAACAGACAAATAAATAAGCACCACCCTCTTAGCTGGAGCTTCAACATAAACCCTTTGGCTTACTAGATATCAGCCTGTAACGATTTCATAACAATAGAACAACACACTTCTCTACCAACAATAAAAAAACCAACCAGGCTCACTGAGACAAGTGAAAACCATAATAGACCACAATGGACCAATATACTGCCCCCCTTAAATCGGGGATAATCACAGATAGCACACAGACCCTCCCCTCCTTTCCCTCCTGACAAACTTTAGTAAACCCCTTTTTGAAAAAACAAAGTCCATTTAGACTCCTTGACGAGGCCTCAATAAGGAAGTTCACAGTGCCCAGAGACTGTTGACTGGCCCTACAGAATTCTCAAGGCCAATGGTTTTGTGATGGACAGACATTTTTTTTAACAAATTACTTAGACTATACAAAAAAACATTGCCCTATAAAAACGAAACAATCACAAAAAAAAACGGCTTTTTTGCCCTGGCTAACCGCCCTTTTCTGAAATCCATTGACAAGAAACACCAATATGAAAAGCAATTTAGACGGGTTTTAATACCAAAAATTTTCTTAAACACTTTTCTCAGTTCTCACCAAAGTAATAAAAAACCCAAAAAACTATATACTCCAGTAGTTTCACAGACACTAGAGGAGATAAAAAAAAAGACTGGAAAACACCTCTCAATTCTAGGGACCCACAAACTAAAAAAAAAAAAAAAATATTGTCCTAACTAAACCTAATGAAACCCCCTTAATCCACTGCACAGCAAAAAAGATAAACGCTTCTTCTAAACCCGGGTTTAATTCGCCAATAAAATTCCCCATACCAATGCCCATCCGGGGACTACCTAGATGGGGAAATTTCCCAAATTCCTTTATTTTGCACCAACTGAGCCCCTCGGAAGTCACCGGATTATAAAGTCACTTAAAAATAACTCAAACTGTTCATGAAACCTCGCGCGAGGGCCCAGTCCTTTCGATGTATTTCATTACTTTTTTAAAGTCACAAAACTAGCCCCCCCAAAAAAATCAAGGGGGTTACCAACATAAAAAGGGGTGCCCAAACTTAAAAAAATAGGCCAATATCAAAAATATGGGCTATCCAAAAAAGAGCTCTCACAGGAGCATATTTTTTATAAACCACAAAACAACTCAACCCCCTTTTCCTTTGGTTCAGGAAAAATAAAAAGCACTAAGACAACAAAAAATGCTAGATCGCTTTCACACTTAAAAAAAGGAATATCCCCTAAATTTTTAACCTAAGAAAAGTTTGGGGGAACATAGACCACCATCTCTCCAAACTTGACCATTCTATAAAAAGGGCCATGGTGCTTATTTTCAAACTACCTTACTAATAGGTTTTTAGATGCAATTAAAGAAAGCAACAAAAAAGGCCATTGGGTAATGGAGTTGAAGGGAAGTGTCCTTGGCCCCGCTTTTATATACAAATGAATTTTCCTTTTTTTCGGGTTTTTTCCAACACTAATCCATTTTTTGTGAGAAAACGACTTATGT